TCGGACATCAGCCCCTGGATAGTGCGAAACTTCGCATAGACACCCCGAAGCTTACCCGCCAAAATCAGGTCCTCTCCGCTCAAACCCGAATCCGCAAGTGCGAAATCCTCTTCCTCTACATCCGCCAACTTCCTTTTCCTACCCTGAATCAGCACCACCGGCTTTGTCTTCGAAATACGCGAGGCGGATGCCATATCTTCACCATCGGAAATCGTAATAGGAGGTTCGGATCCGAGCGAAGACCCGACCCGAACCTTGGAAGCCGCCATCGGCCGACGCGCAGACGCTTTGCCCTTGGCGCGCGCTAAATACAGGAGTCAAAACGCCGAAAAATGCGAAAAAGAGGAAAACTCACCAATACGAGAATAGGAACATGCCTGTTTAGAGTTCCGGCACTCTGTACACCCGCGTTTTTCGGGTCCGAAGCATTCGGTGTTACGCTTAGCGCAGCGGTCGCAGGGAGGGTCGTGAAGGATCATTCCATCATCAGAATCATCATCCTTGCGAAATATCTAGCGTAAGACAAACGCAAAAATTTCGGACTTACCTTCGGCGCAGGATGCTTTGCCTTGCGCACCCGAGTCGGCCGCTTAATCGGAACTTCGGATTCGCCGTCCGCATCTTCTTCTTCATCGCCCTCACCTTCCATCGAGACATCCGCAGGTGCGCCTTGAGGTTCGGAAATTTCGGCCTGACGCGCGGCCATTTCCTTGAGCGCATGCAGCTGTTCCACGAAGCGATCATGAATCCCCACCAATTCCTTACCCCTCGCAACATCCTCCGCAGTCAACGCAAGTGCGACACCCTTATCCTTTCCGGCCGCTATAAAGATTCCGATATCGGACTTTCGGATATTAGCACGAAAAACCCGAAAATCACAGCAAATGCGACGCACCGAAATCTTGTTCCACCTCCTGCACCATTCTTCCTTTTCCACCATGAGATCCGGCCTATCATCTGGTACGCACTTCGATTCGGCCTCCATCTTTTGCCGAAGTTCCGAAAATCCGCGCTGGAGAGACTCAGCCTCAGGAGATAAGACTTGTGCAGTGTCAAAGGGGAACGCCATAGTGAGATTAGATGAAGGGGAAAAGAATGAAAGAAGAGAAGCGCAGTTGTCAAGGGCTCGGGTTTATATGCAGAAATCGCGAGAAAGTCTCGGCCGCATTTCCCGCTGGTCACGTGACTTAGAAACCCGCAAATTTGGTGAAGACTTCCCGCATACCGCTGACTGGGGACAGTCAGTATTCAAAGTTCGTAGGAGATGTAGGACACGAGCTGGTGCTGGGCTCGTATCGAGCTATTTCACAGTACACGCCAAATACCTGTCACATGCTAATCACTTCCCGATGTTATCCGACGCTAACCCGCCAAACCGACGTTTAGGCCGCATCGGACCCGATGTTTTCCCGTGCACTTGTCCTATCCGTGTCCCGTCCTGTCTTGCTAGCCCCACTAGGTGTGTAGTTCATTATTTCGCACATTACTCACGTCGTAGCCAGCGCTATTACATGTTTTCCCATAGTCCGCAGCGCCTCATGTTTATTTACATGTACTTCGGATCCGAAATACTCCGCCGCTACTTTCGCCTATGGGTTCCGCATTTCTACGTACTTACATATATATTGGACTGACCTCGAGCATTATTCATTATCCAAGTAGAGGGGAGCAGTTCCCCGACGCTTAGTGGTCAAGCCCGATATTTCGTAGTTCTTAGTTGATATTGCGAATATCATCGCTCTTTCATTATCCATATCAGTCATTGTTATTATCGCGCACACCGCTCGCTCTTCCGACGCTCGCTATAGCGTTACTATTAGTTTCCAACATCCCGAACCCGAACCCGATATCCCGAAACCCCGAAAACATCGGACCCGACGCTTTTGCGTCGGACATCGTAATTATACCTTTGGACATTGTTTCCCGCGCTCGGACTATTGACCCCACATCACTCACTTACCCCCAAGACTATTCCCAGACCGCAGACCCCTGGGTCGAACGCACTTGTCAGGCAAGTATAGCAGAATAGGCAGTGCAAAGACCACAACACAAATATATCAGTTAGGAGCAATCTTTGTTTTGTTCCTCTCAGTATTGTTGTTTCTACAGCGGGACACCCTGGGAGATTCAAAACTGAGGAATTGGTAAAGCGGGACTTTTGGTGGCCCGCTATGGGAACCTATATTCGCAAATACGTTGAGGGATGCGCGCTGTGCCAACAGATGAAAGCTGACACTCACCCAACTACCCCGCCTTTACGCCCTATTCCCTCCACTGCCACTCGCCCCTTTTCTCAGGTCTCCGTCGACCTTATCACTGATCTACCGTTGTCCGGAGGCTTCGACTCTATCATGATCGTGGTAGACCATGGGCTTACGAAGGGGGTAATTATTTCACCATGCAACAAAAACATCACCTCAGAAGGAGTGGCCAAACTATTTCTTAAAAACGTATTCAAGAGATTTGGCCTCCATGAGAAAGTAATCTCTGACAGAGGACCACAGTTTATTTCTAAATTCTCTCGAGAACTCGCCAGACTTCTCGGATACCAGATCGCTGCATCAACCGCCTATCATCCCCAGACAGACGGACAAACAGAACGTCTCAACCAGGAACTTGAAACCTATCTTCGAATCTATTGCAGGAGTAACCCGTTAGAATGGGCCAATCATCTTCCCATCGCCGAGTTTGTCCATAATCATCGAAAACACGACACCAGAAACACGTCCCCATTCTTCCTCATGATGGGCTATGAGCCACGAAGAATCCCCCACATCTTACCCGTATCAGACACGCCAGCAGCAGAAGAAAGACTCAGGAACCTCCAGAAGATACATGAAGAAGCACTCGCCTGCCATAACATTGCTATGCAGCGAATGGCAGAAAGATCTCGCCATGGGAAGTATCGACCGTGGAAGATAGGAGATAAGGTATGGCTCACGGCCACCAATCTCCTGACATCTTTACCATCTAGGAAACTTGCGCCCAAGCGATACGGCCCATTCGTTATCACCGCAGTCTTATCTCCCATCACGTTCACCCTGAAGCTCCCAGATCAATGGAAAGTTCACCCCACGTTCCATGCTTCCGAACTATCCTCCTATCACGAAACAGAGATACACGGACCGAACTATGCCGAACCTCCGCCTGACGTTATCAATGGCGAAGAAGAATACGAAGTAGAAGCTATTCTTAGCCATAAGGGCATGGGTAAACGAAGACACTATCTCGTATCTTGGATAGGCTACTCTTCCGGAAGCAACGAATGGATACCCGAGGAGAACTTGCAGAGTTCGAAAGAACTCTTAACAACGTATAAAAGGAGACACAAGTTGAACTAAACGAACCATTCCCCTCGAGACAAACAACCCAAGTATCATGACTCCTCCATTGACACCCTCTCCCACTGGATCATCCTCCACTGCCTTCTCCCTCGAAAACTCCACGTACAAGAAAAACATCGTTAACCTTGACGACGACGCCATCGTCGAAACAACCCTGTTGTCTCTCCCCCACGCAGTTGAACTAGAAAACCAGCTCACCAAAGAACCCGCGTTCGTTGCCGCCCCCATTCTCTCCCAGATCCACGTTATACGCGCCACAGCCGCCCTTGAACTTAGATTCAAAGAAATTCAGGACGATGCCCTCAGACTCACCTGCCAACACCTCCAGAGACAAATTCGCAGTCTTGAGATTCAGCTTCTTCCTTCTGCTTTTAGTACTGTCTGCAAAACAGTTATATGAACTGTTGCAGAACGGAACAAGACCGAAGTCGGTCGCCCGCCAAGCCCTTCTGCTAGCGCTTCCCCCGGCAGCATATCTGTTGCAGATATGGCTAGAGAAGAAACTCAGCCTGTTGCTCGACCAGCACAAGCTGAAGAACCATTACCCATCCCCGAACCCACCGTCGTCTTTAAACAAAAGACCCGCAAGGGAGCTACCGTGCACGGAGTGTCGAAGACTAGAGCTTCTAAGGGAAAGAAGCGTGAAGTCATTGACCTCACCGAAACCCCTGACGTCATCACAGTAAAGCAACCCCAGTTTTCCCCAGACAATTTCGTCTGTCGCGTCTGTAAGAAACTCGGACATCGCCACAAGAACTGCCCTGAATACCACTGCCGCGTATGCCAGAGCCAGAAGCCTGGTCATCTCTCTATCTATTGCCCCTACACCGCCAAGAAGGAACTATTCCCATTGGTTTACACCGATGAAGGCTTCTACGAAGCACTGTCGGAGTGGGAGGCCAGGAAGGATGAAGAACTCCAGGATGAAATAGATCGGGCGAATCGGGAGTACGCCACCAAGTATAATGAACCGGAGTTCTGCAACGCTGACGCAGACCCAATCTATTACGACCACATGGACGAGTATGTCAACACCGAAGAATATTGAAGTCGGAGACTTCAACCATAGCAGTGGGGTAATGTTACAGTAACATTTGACCCCTATCTTCATTTTTCTTATCTTGCTTACAAACGGGCTGTCCGTATCATGCTTATCTGTTATCATCGCCAAGCGGGCTGTCCGCCTTATCTTTCTTCCTATCGCGCTTCTATCTTGATAACCATTTACAAGCTCCGCTTGAACATTCGGTATATAGACCTAGCTACCAACGATTGTATTCTTTACTTTAATCTACTGGGTTTTACCTGGAACATCGTCCTTCAGTAAGGTCTCCAACCTTACTGTCTAAGAACCACTATTCTAAGGGAGTCAGCGACACTCGCCTTAGCCAGAAACCTTGATCTCTCATTCGAGAGCAGACCTCCGTCTATCTGGCACTCTGCCGATTGTCTATTCAGACATAGATAGCTCGACTCATCCCAGTCGTAACAATGACACTGTGAAGGAGGGGAAAGTCCTCATTGCGCAGGTGATGTTTACAAGACACGCAATGACACAGGAGTGGAAAAAATGCATCGCTCAATTCGAGGACGCAATCAAAGACTCAACACCTCATTGTTCGGAAGATGGTGGTGAGTTTTTTGCATCACATCACAATGATGAACAAACTCATATGGGGCACTGATCCCCTACTCTTCATGCATGCATATCCTGTGGATGAGGTATGTCGATCTCACACTTCTAATGCTTTATGCACCATGAGTCTTTCAGCATGGAAATATCACTGTCAATGCCAAATTTCAAAACACGTTTATCATGGCTGGCATCGTTCGTTTTGTGTGGCACAAGGGCCACAAAGCCTTTCTTGGCACCTCACCACTGAAGGGCGAGCCCCTTCAGTGACAAATTCCGTATTATACGGGCCACCCGACCTACATAATATCCCATATGAGACGGGCCAGCGGATTATGGGCCCATGTTGTGTATATTCTCGATGATGACAGATGGGCCGGGACACATATTATTTCCGATGGAGACGGGTGGGCCCATGTATGCCAATGATATATATATCCTTGATGTTGACGGATGGGCCGGGGGAATATGATCATTCATGGAGATGGGTGGGCCCATCAGGGTAATATGTAGAGTAGGATATTATAGACAGCTGGGCTGAAGAGAGATGTAAGGCAAATATTGTTATATAGACGGGCGGGCTGACGGGGGTGTATTACATATATGGGTGGGCCGAGGTAGGGGAATATTACATAGATGGGTGGGCTGACGCGGGGTGTATTACATATACAGGTGGGCCGACATAAAAAGTATTACATATACGGGTGGGCCGACGAAAGGGATATCAAATAGACGGGTGGGCCAAGGGTGTGATAAAATATTTATTACATAGACAGGTGGGCCGAGGTGGGGTATAATTATATAGACGGGTGGGCCAACATAGGATGTATTACATAGACGGGTGGGCCGACGTGGGGGATAATACATAGATGGGTGGGCTGATGTGGGGGAATTGTACATAGATGGGTACATATATGGGTGAGCCTAGATATGTATAAATGTCAAATTTTCAGTGCAAAACCCCAAACCGAGATTTACCAACCCCCGAACCCCGAAATTGTGGACTGCCGGGTCTTGGGTTTTGGGGTTCGGGGGTCCCGGAACTCGGAACTCAGTATGTGAGACAACAAAAATATATTTCAAACACGGGCAAGTCAATGTGTTTGTCAATCAACTTGATTGTAAATTATATTTTATTGATCTCCCCAAATTTCCCAAGTTCCGAGTTCCGAGCTCCGGGACCCCCGAACCCCAAAACCCGGCAGTCCACAATTTCGGGGTTCGGGAGTTGGTAAAATGTGTATGGATAGATGAAAGGTTGATTTAAACATTTTTGAAAGATGTCCCATATGAAATGTTAAGTCCCGAGTTTTGAACTCCGGGTTTCGGGACTCCGGGTTTCGGGACTTCGGGCTTCGGGACTCGGCACTCCAGAAACCCGGAAATCGAAACTTGGGACTTGACATTTCATATGGGATATCTTTCAAAAATGTTTAAATTAACCTTTCATCTATCCATACACATTTTACCAACTCCCGAACCCCGAAATTGTGGACTGCCGGGTGTCGGGTTTCGGGGTTCGGGGGTCCCGGAGCTCGGAACTCGGAACTTGGGAAATTTGGGGAGATCAATAAAATATAATTTACAATCAAGTTGATTGACAAACACATTGACTTACCCGTGTTTGAAATATATTTTTGTTGTCTCACATACCGAGTTCCGAGTTCCGGGACCCCCGAACCCCGAAACCCGGGACCCGGCAGTCCACAATTTCATGGTTCGGGGGTTGGTAAAATGTTTATGGATATATGAAAGGTTGATTCAAACATGTTTGAAAGATGTCTTTCATCTCAAAAATCGAGTCCCAAGTTCCGGGTAAGACATCTTTCAAACATGTTTGAATCAACCTTTTGTATATCCATAGACATTTTACCACCCCCAAACCCCGAAATTGTGGACTGCCGGGTCTCGGGTTTCGGGGTTCGGGGGTCCCGGAACTCGGGACTCAATATGTGAGACAACACAGATATCTTTCAAAAGTTTGTAAATCAATTTGTTTGTAAATCAAATTTATTGTAGATCAAATTTTATTGATCTCCCCAAATTTCCCAAGTCCCGAGCGCCGACCCCCGACCCCCGAGACCCGGCAGTCCACAATTTCGGGGTTCGGGGGTCCCGGAACTCGGGACTCAATATGTGAGACAACACAGATATCTTTCAAAAGTTTGTAAATCAATTTGTTTGTAAATCAAATTTATTGTAGATCACCCCCGAACCCCGAAATTGCGGACTGCCGGGTCTCGGGGTTCGGGGTTCAGGGGTCCCGGAACTCGGGACTCGATATGTGAGACGACATATCTTTCAAAAGTTTGTAAATCAATTTGTTTGTAAATCAAATTTATTGTAGATCAAATTTTATTGATCTCCCCAAATTTCCCAAGTCCCGAGCACAGACCCCCAACCCCCGAGACCTGGCAGTCCACAATTTCGGGGTTCGGGAGTTGGTAAAATGTTTATGGATATATGAAAGGTTGATTCAAACATGTTTGAAAAATGTCTTTCATCTCAAAAATCGAGTCCCGATGTCCTGCATGATACGGGAATCATGCATGGACATAACTACTACTAGGAATAACCCTCAAAAGATTATGTCTGTTAGCACAGTCCTCAGACTAGTCACCCCATACCTTGGTATCAAACCTCGGTCCTATATTTCAAGTTTTATATGGAAGAAGAAGAAAAAGTCATATGTTAAATGGGAATCACAGAATGACCTAGTTTATATGTGAAGTAAAATGAAGGTTAAGGTATTGCCTTACCTTTGGCTTATTCACTTTGGCTAGAGAAAACCATTGAGAAAAGCTCAAAGCTTAACAAAAACCTATCTAAAAAGCCCGTGTCTTGCATATTGTATTTGTATCATTGTTTCTATCTTGTTTTCTCTAGCATTGTTCTTTTATTTTCTTTTATTTAGGATGCTATGACCTACCAGATACTCCAGAAAATATTATTCTGAGTATGATGTCATAATGATGTCATATAGCTCCACAGAAAGTTCTAGACTATTCTGTTGGAAATTATGATGTAATGTATGAGTCATAATGATGTCATAGGCTCTAGAATATTCTAGCTCCACTATGATGTCATCTCTGATGTCATTGCTCCATTTTTTATTTGTATTTTATACTTTTATTGGGTTTCACCCAATATTCTGATTGGTTCTCTCTTTATTTTATTGTTTGCGAACCTACATTACTTTCCCACACAAAATGTATATAAGGAGAGCCCATTCTCCCCAAAAAAAGAGATCCCTCTTCTAGGAAATTTTCTTCTCAGAGAACCCCTCAGTTGAACAAGACATCTCACTTGTCAAGATCTCCCACTTGTGGCAGAACAAGTGCAGGGAAACGTATCCCTTGAGAATACAAGTTTCTTACGATAAGAAGCTTACGTTACTGTTTATTTGACCAACCAGTCTTTGGTCCACGTGATTTTTTAGAGACCGTTGTCTCTCCCGTTTACTGTTTGTTTGACCAAATCGTGCCTTGGTCAACGTGATTATTCTTGAGACCATTGTCTCACCAGTGCTATTTGTGCCTATTTGACCAACCAGTCTTTGGTCAACGTGATATCACAGAGACCCCTTTGTCTCTACTCCTATTCGTGCCTATTTGATCAACTCGTGCCTTGGTCAAATCTACCCAGTTCATTTCAGTGCCTAGAACGTGCAATCTAGGCAAAGCTATTTGTACTTCAGACCACAGTTCTGAATCTAGGTAGCAAATCCTAGACAAAGCAATTGGAGGTACACATAAAAGCTCCGGCTAAGTTGATCACCTGATTGGTTTAGCGAGCCTCCCAAGAACTCACACGTTATCTACCACGAAAGAAGAAAAGTCGTAGACCGTGTTAATCGAGGACTGGCAAGAAGTCTTATCCAAGTGTAATTGTGGTGTCATTACATTCTTACACACTTTATATAAGACCCTCGGTTATTAAGACACTGAGTTCCGAATTAGTGCCGAAGCTTGAAACTTGAAATCAGTGGAAAATGAAATCTCGCAACAATGTACACATGAAGATGTTTTATTTCCTTTGACAATTCACCGAGTGTCTTGTACTAACCTGACAACACAGTCCCGGCTTCAGGCTTCAGGGCTCGGTACACGACACTCGGGGAATTGTGAAATTTCTATTTCCTTGGACATTTCACTGAGTTCCGAGGTCCGGGCGCCGAATTCCGAGTTCCGAGCCGAGTGCCGAGTGCCGAGTGCCAAGCTCAAAACTTGAAATCAGTGGAAAACGAAATCTTGCAACAATGTACACATGAAAATGTTTTATTTCCTTTGACAATTCACTGAGTGTCTTGTACTAACTCAGGGAATTGTGAAATTTCTATTTCCTTAGACATTTCACTGAGTTCTGAGTTCCGAGCGCCGAGTTCCGAGTTCCGAGTGCCGGATGCTGAGTGCTGAAGCTTGGAACTTGAAATCAGTGGAAAACAAAATCTCGCGACAATGTACACATGAAAATGTTTCATTTCCTTTGACAATTCACCGAGTGTCTTGTACTAACCTGACAACACAGTCCGGGCTTCAGGCTTTGGGTTTCGGGGCTCGGTACATGACACTCGGGGAATTGTTTATGGAAATGAAACATGTTCATGTGTACATTGTTGCGAGATTTCATTTTCCACCGATTTCAAGTTTCAAGCTTCGGCACTCAGCCACTGGTCGGTAGTCAATATAGGCAAATGGTAATGAAAAATGAAAGTTGTTATTACGCTTAACTTCCTTACCGAAGGTTGTAGTCCGAGTCTAGGGGAGTGTATTGGTAGTCTTTTCTTGTCCATCAGTTATCATTTAACCGAGATATAAGCTAAAGAAATCTGAAACATCGGCAATAATGAAAAATGAAAGTTATTATTATGTTTAAGTTCCTGAACAAAAGTTGTAGTCCGAGCCAAGGTGAGTGTATTGGTAGTTTTTTCTTGTCAATTGGTTATCTCGTTACTCGGTACTCGGTACAAGGGAATCAGTACTTGGTATTTGGTTCTGATACTTGATACCCGAGAATCAGTAGTGGGGTACTCGGTACTCGGTTCTGATACTTGGTACCCGAGAATCAGTAGTCAGGTACTCAGTACTTGGTTCTAATTCTCGGTACCTGTGAATCAATAGTTGGGTACTCCAGCCAATAGTCCCGAGTCCCGAGTACTGATACTTGGTATTCAGTAGTCAGGTTTGGAACTTGGGTCTTGGTTTGGTTATCATTTGACTGAGATATTGGTAGGCAATATTGGCACTCGGAGCTCGAATACTGACTATCAA